ACATCGCTATATATATATACACACAGAGGTTTTGGGGTTCCTCCATGTTCTAAGTAAGAATCCCACCAGCTATCTACGTGCATTTTGGAAAATCCTGTGTATATATAATATATTTTGAATATTGTAGTTGTCCGGCACTATATATTCATATAATAAAAACTTTCCAAACCTGATGTTCGAATCGTATGTACATCGCTATATATATATATACACAGAGGTTTTTGGGGGTTCCTCCATGTTCTAAGTAAGAATCCCACCAGCTATCTACGTGCATTTTGGAAAATCCTGTGTATATATAATATATTTTGAATATTGTAGTTGTCCGGCACTATATATTCATATAATAAAAACTTTCCAAACCTGATGTTCGAATCGTATGTACATCGCTATATATATACACAGAGGTTTTGGGGGTTCCTCCATGTTCTAAGTAAGAATCCCACCAGCTATCTACGTGCATTTTGGAAAATCCTGTGTATATATAATATATTTTGAATATTGTAGTTGTCCGGCACTATATATTCATATAATAAAAACTTTCCAAACCTGATGTTCGAATCGTATGTACATCGCTATATATATATATATATACACAGAGGTTTTGGGGGTTCCTCCATGTTCTAAGTAAGAATCCCACCAGCTATCTACGTGCATTTTGGAAAATCCTGTGTATATATAATATATTTTGAATATTGTAGTTGTCCGGCACTATATATTCATATAATAAAAACTTTCCAAACCTGATGTTCGAATCGTATGTACATCGCTATATATATATATACACAGAGGTTTTGGGGGTTCCTCCATGTTCTAAGTAAGAATCCCACCAGCTATCTACGTGCATTTTGGAAAATCCTGTGTATATATAATATATTTTGAATATTGTAGTTGTCCGGCACTATATATTCATATAATAAAAACTTTCCAAACCTGATGTTCGAATCGTATGTACATCGCTATATATATATATACACAGAGGTTTTGGGGGTTCCTCCATGTTCTAAGTAAGAATCCCACCAGCTATCTACGTGCATTTTGGAAAATCCTGTGTATATATAATATATTTTGAATATTGTAGTTGTCCGGCACTATATATTCATATAATAAAAACTTTCCAAACCTGATGTTCGAATCGTATGTACATCGCTATATATATATACACAGAGGTTTTGGGGGTTCCTCCATGTTCTAAGTAAGAATCCCACCAGCTATCTACGTGCATTTTGGAAAATCCTGTGTATATATAATATATTTTGAATATTGTAGTTGTCCGGCACTATATATTCATATAATAAAACCTTTCCAAACCTGATGTTCGAATCGTATGTACATCGCTATATATATATATATATACACAGAGGTTTTGGGGGTTCCTCCATGTTCTAAGTAAGAATCCCACCAGCTATCTACGTGCATTTTGGAAAATCCTGTGTATATATAATATATTTTGAATATTGTAGTTGTCCGGCACTATATATTCATATAATAAAACTTTCCAAACCTGATGTTCGAATCGTATGTACATCGCTATATATAGAGGTTTTGGGGGTTCCTCCGTGTTCTAAGTAAGAATCCCACCAGCTATCTACGTGCATTTTGGAAAATCCTGTGTATATATAATATATTTTGAATATTGTAGTTGTCCGGCACTATATATTCATATAATAAAAACTTTCCAAAACTGATGTTCGAATCGTATGTACATCGCTATATAGAGGTTTTGGGGGTTCCTCCATGTTCTAAGTAAGAATCCCACCAGCTATCTACGTGCATTTTGGAAAATCCTGTGTATATATAATATATTTTGAATATTGTAGTTGTCCGGCACTATATATTTATATAATAAAAACTTTCCAAACCTGATGTTCGAATCGTATGTACATCGCTATATATATATATACACAGAGGTTTTGGGGGTTCCTCCATGTTCTAAGTAAGAATCCCACCAGCTATCTACGTGCATTTTGGAAAATCCTGTGTATATATAATATATTTTGAATATTGTAGTTGTCCGGCACTATATATTCATATAATAAAAACTTTCCAAACCTGATGTTCGAATCGTATGTACATCGCTATATATATATACACAGAGGTTTTGGGGGTTCCTCCATGTTCTAAGTAAGAATCCCACCAGCTATCTACGTGCATTTTGGAAAATCCTGTGTATATATAATATATTTTGAATATTGTAGTTGTCCGGCACTATATATTCATATAATAAAAACTTTCCAAACCTGATGTTCGAATCGTATGTACATCGCTATATATATATATACACAGAGGTTTTGGGGGTTCCTCCATGTTCTAAGTAAGAATCCCACCAGCTATCTACGTGCATTTTGGAAAATCCTGTGTATATATAATATATTTTGAATATTGTAGTTGTCCGGCACTATATATTCATATAATAAAAACTTTCCAAACCTGATGTTCGAATCGTATGTACATCGCTATATATATATATACACAGAGGTTTTGGGGGTTCCTCCATGTTCTAAGTAAGAATCCCACCAGCTATCTACGTGCATTTTGGAAAATCCTGTGTATATATAATATATTTTGAATATTGTAGTTGTCCGGCACTATATATTCATATAATAAAAACTTTCCAAACCTGATGTTCGAATCGTATGTACATCGCTATATATATATACACAGAGGTTTTGGGGGTTCCTCCATGTTCTAAGTAAGAATCCCACCAGCTATCTACGTGCATTTTGGAAAATCCTGTGTATATATAATATATTTTGAATATTGTAGTTGTCCGGCACTATATATTCATATAATAAAAACTTTCCAAACCTGTATAATATGAATCCCATCCCAATTAATCAAACACCCACCAGAGTCCCCATGGAGGATGACCTCCTTTCCAGCGTTGTGCTTCTTGGTCACCAAGACTCCGCCCCAATTGACGCAACATCACACCTCCTGTATATATAATATAAATATGCAGTGTTAAGTTGTATGTATGTATACATATACATATATTTACATGTATATATGATGGCGTGTTCTAAGTAGAGGATCCTCATATGTTCTAAGTCACTTAGAACATACGTCCCCTATTCGCCGAAAATGTTCTAAGTAGAGGGCGCGTACCCACCGAAAAATTTCCAAAACGATGTTCTAAGTAGTTGTCCGGCGCTATATATATATAACTTATCATTCCATTCCACTTATAAGATACAATTCCAGAAATGGGGTAACGTTACTGACTTATTATAACTTATAACTGGCAAAGGGCCATGGCCATAACTGATATCGCATTGGTTGTCTGTAGCATGAGGTTAGCTTGCCAGGATTGTTGGTGAAACATCCCAGATTTGTACTGACCTCAGACAACCCCAACACAGATGATTAATATTGGTGAAACCATCAGAACTAGATAGAATTATAAATCCTGTTTCGCTTAGTCATGAGTTCATGAATCATTGTTGATGTTGGATATGTTGGTTTATCTCCCCGTTTTGGTTTGTCAATATACCTCCAGATGTGTTAGCTGGCATCAGGACTTATCCAACTTCTTCCAGAAATTAAAGGGAAACTGACAGGAAACTGCAGAACCCCCATGGCCCATATCTCAAATCTGACCTAATTAATCTTGAACAAGTGATCCAGAAGACCAGGAAGATCAGTGTTGTCTTGTGAATGAAAGCCCATATCCTGTAGATTTTCTCCCCTTAAACCACACTCTATCGAAACTAGCTGCTGATGTAATCTATTTGCGTAAATTATAACGACTTCACTGTTCTCCCTCACTGGATTTTTTTCTGGTTAGGCTTCGGGGAATGATCCCTTAAATTGTCGCCGAAGCTGTCAAGCGGAGTGAATTTGAATTTACCATGATTCACCATGACAGGAAATGATGATAAAATTCACTTGTAAATTAAAATTCACATGATCATGATATATGTATCAATGGATTGAAGGGACATTTTAGAGGAAAGCCCAACCAATTTCATGGGGAAAACCATGGTTTCCGGTTAAGATTTTCTCCCTTAAACTGATCCATTGAATTTATCGATTCCAGGCTGCAGTCCAGTTGGACTTACCAGAGCAGGTGGGGGGTGGACTTGGAGGATGGTCGACAGTGATGTGGTGCCGAAAATGCCAGTTGGTACATCGATATACTACCAGTTACTACCAGGTACTGTATGTATCGAATATGCCCACTTATATATGCAGTATATATTTATATGATAAACACATATACACACATGATATTACATGGCTTATATCTGGATTACACACATTTATAAACCACGGATCCGAAATTGTGAGATGCATTTCCAACTTGGTTGCTGTAGCTGGGGTTATAACCTAGAAATGGGGTGAGCCACCAAGAAGTTATCTAGGTATTACTATAGTCTGTTATGGGAACCCATGTAAACCAGCCAGTACCGTGGGATTATACCAAGCAAAAAACGTTGCCCATGTTCAAAATGCGTCTAGAATCCTTCCCATGGAGTCGTGTAAGGATCATTACCACCACCACCACCACCACCACCAACATCGTCAGCATCATCACCGTCAGCATCATCATCGTCAGCATCATCATCATCATCATCATCATCGTGATCATCGGGGCCATGTGCTTCTTTAGAAGAAAAGCATGCCACGAAACTGTATGAACATGGAACTTCCATGTGACCATTGTAAAGCCTCCAGTCACGCTCTACCGGGTCAACACTTGCTCAAGCTGATCCACAGATTATGGAAGCACACGCTGAAAACGACTGGAAAAGCACCACTGCCCTTATGGACCATTTATGGCACTGAGGTCACCCCAGTCATCCCAGATTTCCATTTGTAAGGGTTAAAGACCTATGTCAAACTGATCATGCTCCAAATGCTGCTTCAAACTCACCATGTTGGAATAAACAATTGAGGCCGTGACCTCGCCCCATAAGACATCAAAAACTCACAGAATTTATCCAGCCCAAAACCACCAAAACCAACCATGCAGACTCCCCAACCCGATCGTCATTTCGTTGGCCAAGCCATGTGGACAACTCGATGTGTTCCCCCCCGGGCCACCAGTTCCTCCTGGGTCGGGCGGTCCCGTGGGACCCCTGGGACCCCTGGGACCTCTGGGACCTGTGGGACCCGTGGGACCCGTGGGCCAGCGCTGGTCACTGGCTCCCAGCCGTGCGGCGCGGTGTGGGGCGCTGCGGGAGTGGCTGCGGCATTGCGGGTGACGTGGCCGACTTTCTATAGGGACCTGCTGGGGTAGATCCGGTGAATCGAGGACTCCGGAAATGGGAGTTACGAACTATGTGGGGTTATCTTGGGATCTCTGGCATTTTCCGGAGCAATTTCCTGGTAATTCATAACCATTAATTTCTTTCCATTGCCAGGTCATTTGGTGGTTCTCTGGGGGTCAAAAGCTACTAGTGGACTGCTCTTTAATGGTCTTCAAATGTCTTCAGTGTTTTTGTGCCAGGCAGATTGGAAAGGGGTTCGACTCTCCAGCTGAAGTTCAGGTCTAAATGAATGGTAAACATGTCACAGGTGTTGCTAAAATCTCCATGTTGGAAGCACATGTTCACATTCTTGCTGGTTTGCTGGCGATATTTGTATCCCAATCTTTTGGCTGGTTAAATTTGCGTTTCTCATGGTGAAATTCGTATTTGTCTGCAGTCCCTGGTCTTTTGATGCTTAAACAATCATTAAACCACCATTTTACCCAATGAAATCCCGCATCTTTGGGTCCATTTGGTCAGGCCCGAAGCCTCCCACACAGCGCCCAAAGTGGCACGGCAGTCACTGCGGAGGCTCCAGTGACGACTCCAGTCATCCACAAGTGCCGTGGCGGAGGGAATCATCATGGGATGACCATGAAATGTTTATGAAATACCATGAATTTCCAGAATTGGATTGGACATTGGACTAATTCATGATGATTTATGTACTACTCATTGGGAGATGGCTAAGGTTAAAGAATGTTAAAAACAATCCATAGGTATTTGATGGTGCACAGAATTCCCACGATGGGATGGCCTGGTCAATCATGGTTTGGTGGAAAATCCCTGGAAATCCATGATTTAAAGATGAATTTCTCAGCTATACACCTCCATTTATTTTGTGGGGGATGTTATGGAATGTTCATATATGTTCCTATTATGTTCCTTAATTGTCCCATCAAAACCTCCACGTTCACTGGGGATTGATCCGTATTTTCCCAAATTTTCCCAGCTATAAACGTGCCAGCGGCCCGCCCGGTTTGACAACACCGAAGGGTGATTCCATCAATCGCCATTTCCTATTGTTGACCATTCTTAACCACTGTTAACCATCATGAAGTGTGTTTACTGCAGTTATGGCCATTTATCAGTTATAAGTACTAAGAAAACCCCATTTATAGAATGTATAATCCCATTTATAACCAGTTATAACTGGTAAATGACCATAACTGTGTTAGTACATGTTAGTACCAGATGTTGCTGATATAGTGTTATAATATGCATGCATTATGTACACAGGATGGTTCCAGATGTACCTTATGTATCCTTATTTGATGTACCGAGATTACCCAGATTGTGTTTTTGATTAAACCGTTATTCATCAACCATAGTATTCCAGTAATTGCTCCTTTCTCTATTGATTGGAATATTCTGATTAGTACCCAGCCATTACTCTCTGGTAATTTGTTACATGAACAATATTGTTTCAATAGCCATAACTAGTTATAGTATGTTATAGTATGTTATAGTTGTTTTGTTTCCATTAAAAAATGATAAAATGGTGATGTTCTATTAAAAACATGTGATTTTCCATCGTTTTTGGTATGTTTATCAGGCCTTTTGTATTCTTCCATTCCATAGCCACCGAGCCAGCGAGGTGGCCCAAGCGAGAGATTCGTGGCTTACTCCAAGAGCTCAAGACCAAGGAGCCCGTGTTGGCCACGTGGCGCTTGGGGATACCGTAAGTAAGGCCACCTCGAAATGCTCGAAATGCAATCGAAAAAGGGATGTAGTAGTTTTATGAATCTTAACCAACCAATATATATATAAATATAATATATATATATAAATATAATATATATATATATACATAAATTATATTCAACAAACATGTTGTCAATCTTACAATATTTAACCAACCAGGATATGGGATATTTTCAGGTAATCGACCTCATATGGAAGATTGACCAACATAAAGGAATAGAAAGCTTTAGTAATAGTATGTACTAGTATCTAACCAACCTAGCTTTGGGATATGAATATGTTCCAAACATAAAGGGACTGAAAGGGAGATGTTGGGATAGAACTGTCTGAAAATGGGAGATACCCAACCGATGGCCATCAGGTGGCTTATCATGTTGTTTACCTTCATTTGTTGAGAAACAAAAACACCTGAACACTTGCAGAAAATTTGTAGAGCTATCTCTTGACCCTGTGTTGGAGTACACGGACCCATGTCTTTGTTGAGTGAAAATTGAGGCTTTCGGCATTAGAATTCTATGATGTCTTTATGTGGAGAGACATGATTTTCCCTGCGGAGATGATATCAAGGAACGTTGTGGAACCCCGACATTTCATTTGGTTGGTAAACTCCACGGTTTCTTTCACAATCGACACCAACCGACAGGGCTTTAGGCTGTTTGCATTACATATTACATATATATATATATATATATAAATGACACAGTATACATATATATATATAATTATATACACATACACAGGAATATATTATATTATATATATAGTATATACTGGAAATCAACTGTTTTAAGCAAACATTTCTTTGAATAAAAACATGTTGTCTCTCCAAGCCGAGGCCAAGTACTTGGAGTATGCTGGCGATCCCTGGGTCACGGACTTTGCGGAGCTGAGACCGTGCCCTTTCCGCGGAATGGCGGGCTGGCTGGTGATATATGATGGGTGTATAGGGCTATGATGGGATATAACCAAGAATAGATGGGATAGATTAACCACATTATATATAATATATATATATATGTATGTATAACTAGCAATCATGTGGATTTGTTTGAAAACGTAGGGGAACACCGTTTAAAATCCAGCTAATCATTCATCATTGTCATTATTATTTGATAGCCATAACTTGGGAGTATACGATAGTATACGTGATTTTCAGACAAACTCTTATACAGGGTGTCAAAGTGGCTTGTGGGGAATGATGAACTAATCATAACTAATCCATAGAAATATTTACCAGCCAGATCCAAGCATTATTTCATGGGATTACATAGGGGTAGCTGCCTAGTTTAGTCGTTTTTAATGGTAAAAAGATTGGGATAGCTGAACATCAGACATGGGAAATCCTAGTGTTCACGAAACAACTATCAATCACCCATAGGATCCATGGTGCTGGTATATATGCTAACATAAAGGGGGTATATTGATGGTAAATGTTACCATATATAGCATACATGGATCCTATGGGTCATGATTTGTGTATTATAACCTCATGAACTCAAATTCTTGGTCAACTTCGGATGGACATTAACTTATAGTTTGGTAATAATACGACTTCATTTGTTGCAAGCAGGGATGTTCATGTGCAACGATTTTCTTTACAGTCGTACCTAAGGTTGGCCATGGATTTGTCCATCCTTCTTTTTGGGCTGCTAATAAGCATGCTGCCAAGGTCTAGTCATCCACCAAAAGATAGAGAAGTATTAGATCCCTACCAATTTGAAGACTATTTACTAAGTCTTATTACTAAGTTTACTATAGGAATATATAGGAATTATACATATATATATATATATATATGATCGAGAGACCTTTAGGTACCATTTTGTTCCGGTTAATTCTGATAATTTTTGGAGCCTTTTGGATAATTGAGAGGATTTGAAGAATTAAATGATTTAATCCTTTTAATCCTTTTAATCCTCCAGAGCCTTTTGGGGGATTAAAAGGATTAAAAGGACTAAATGATTTAATCCTTTTAATCCTTTTAATCCTCCAGAGCTTTTTGGAGGATTAAAAGGATTAAAAGGATTAGATGATTTAATCCTTTTAATCCTTTAATCCTCCAGAGCCTTTTGGAGGATTAAAAGGATTAAAAGGATTAAATGATTTAATCCTTTTAATCCTTTTAATCCTCCAGAGTCCTTTGGGGGATTAAAAGGATTAAAAGGATTAAATGATTTAATCCTTTTAATCCTTTAAATCCTTTTAATCCTTCAGGGGGTCCGGAATTCCCGGCCCAAGCCCTTGAGAAATATATTTAAATCCATTTAATCCTTTTAATCCTCCAGAGTCCTTTGGGGGATTAAAAGGATTAAAAGGATTAAATGATTTAATCCTTTTAATCCTTTTAATCCTTTTAATCCTTTTAATCCTTTTAATCCTTTTAATCCTTTTAATCCTTCAGGGGGTCCGGAATTCCCGGCCCAAGCCCTTGAGAAATATATTTAAATCCATTTAATCCTTTTAATCCTCCAGAGCCTTTTGGAGGATTAAAAGGATTAAAAGGATTTGAAGAATTAAATTGCTGGGCTTTTCTTGGGATTCTGGGAGGTCTGGAGGATTAAAAGGATTAAAAGGATTAAAAGGATTAAATGATTTAATCCTTTTAATCCTTTTAATCCTCCAGAGCCTTTTGGGGGATTAAAAGGATTAAAAGGATTAAATGATTTAATCCTTTTAATCCTTTTAATCCTCCAGAGCCTTTGGGGGATTAAATGGATTAAAAGGATTAAATGATTTAATCCTTTTAATCCTTTTAATCCTCCAGAGCCTTTTAGGGGATTAAAAGGATTAAAATGATTAAATCATTTAATCCTTTTAATCCTTTAATCCTTTTAATCCTTTTAATCCTCCAGCCCCCGAACCCCAAGTGAGGAAAGCATTTAATCCTTTTAATCCTCCTCCAGAGGCTTTGGAGGATTAAAGGATTAAAAGGATTAAATCATTTAATCCTTTTAATCCTTTTAATCCTCCAGAGCCTTTGGTGGATTAAAAGGATAAAAGGATTAAATGATTTAATCCTTTTAATCCTTTTAATCCTTTTAATCCTTTTAATCCTTTTAATCCTCCAGGGGGTCCGGAATTCCCGGCCCAAGCCCTTGAGAAATATATTTAAATCCATTTAATCCTTTTAATCCTCCAGAGCCTTTTGGAGGATTAAAAGGATTAAAAGGATTTAAAGAATTAAATTGCTGGGCTTTTCTTGGGATTCTGGGAGGTCTGGAGGATTAAAAGGATTAAAAGGATTAAAAGGATTAAACGGATTAAATCATTTAATCCTTTTAATCCTTTTAATCCTCCAGAGCCTTTTGGGGGATTAAAAGGATTAAAAGGATTAAATGATTTAATCCTTTTAATCCTTTTAATCCTCCAGAGCCTTTTGGAGGATTAAAGGATTAAAAGGATGATTTAATCCTTTTAATCCTTTTAATCCTCCAGAGTCCTTTGGGGGATTAAAAGGATTAAAAGGATTAAATGATTTAATCCTTTTAATCCTTTTAACCCTTTTAATCCTTTTAGTCCTCCAGGGGGTCCGGAATTCCGGGCCCAAGCCCTTGAGAAATATATTTAAATCCATTTAATCCTTTTAATCCTCCAGAGCCTTTTGGAGGATTAAAAGGATTAAAAGGATTTAAAGAATTAAATTGCTGGGCTTTTCTTGGGATTCTGGGAGGTCTGGAGGATTAAAAGGATTAAAAGGATTAAAAGGATTAAATTAATCCGTTTAATCCTTTTAATCCTCCAGAGCCCTTTAGGGGATTAAAAGGATTAGAAGGGTTAAATGATTTAATCCTTTTAATCCTTTTAATCCTTTTAATCCTTTTAATCCTCCAGGGGGTCCGGAATTCCCGGTCCAAAAGGATTAAAAGGATTTAAAGAATTAAATTGCTGGGCTTTTCTTGGGATTCTGGGAGGTCTGGAGGATTAAAAGGATCAAAAGGATTAAACGGTTTAAAAGGATTAAATGATTTGATCCTTTTAATCCTTTTAATCCTCCAGAGCCTTTTGGTAGGTTCAACAGGGTTCCGGATAAAGTTCCGGGAGGCTTTGGTGCAGAGCCAGGTCAGGCTCAACAGGGCTCCGGGGTTCCGGAGAAGGTTCCGGGAGGCTTTGGTGCAGAGCCAGGTTAGGTTCAACAGGGTTCTGGTGAAGGTTCCGGAGAAGGTTCCGGGAGGCTTTGGTGCAGAGCCAGGTCAGGTTCAACAGGGTTCCGGAGAAGGTCTGGGAGGCTTTGGTGCAGAGCCAGGTCAAGTTCAACAGGATTTGTGGCCATTTAACTCACGGAAACCGAGCTGAAGTGTTTCCAGCGCTTGGCTTGGCAGCAGGCTTCAGAAATATTAGTAAACATAAAACGTTGCGGCTGTTGGGCATACCACCGAAGCTTGTTTTCCAAAGACTTGCTGTGGATGGAAATTGCATGTCCCTTCAAAGTTGCAAGAATGCAGGGGTGAGGCATGTCACCCTGCCTTTGGCAGCATTGTAAGTGACAGCACACGAGATTTCTTGTAAAGAAGCAACACCCGGATGTTTGTTTGAAATTTCCTGGAACAAATATTTTTCGACAAGGGCCACATCACCACATGGGACTTTCAAAAAGCAATGCTCTTGAGCTGCATTGACAGCTGGTGAGCCTCCATCCACATTGTGCAAACAGACAACATCACCAGAAGTAATTGTTGCCCCAGAAAAAAGTTTACAACGAGAGCTCTGCATGCAAGGCATTCCCACAGGAACCACGCCAGCATTGCATAGGAATGCCGTCATCTTCTTTGTGGGGCCCCCTTTGCATTTTGTAGGCAGGTGCCTTCTCTAAACAGTCTTGACTCTTCACCCAATGTATAGATGTGCCCTGCAATGACAGACTTCCTCAGAGAAGTTTCCCAATAGGTAGTGTTGCACAAGACATTCCCATGTTTTCTAGTGCCTTTGTGCTTCCCTTCCATGGTCCAGCATGCAGGTAATTGGCCATGCCTCTGGAGACTTTGACTATAATATGAAGTGACCAGTGCATCTTTGGCTCGAATTCTTCCGACCAGTCAGCTGCAACAGTTGCCTCCAATGCTGCTTCAACAAATGAAAGCAATTGCTTGTAGTCAGGCTTTTCCAAAGCAGGGATGGATAGGCGATAGTCCAAAACTTTGCACCAAGCCAAAGAGCAAGTTGACCCCAGAAGACAAATGCCATTAGGCAAGCAACAAATTTGGACATAGTGTGCCAGCACCTGGTACAGACCCAGAATCTCTGAGGATGCATCTGAACTTCCCAGCTTTTTTGTGGCCTTCCACTGCTTTGGGCAGAAATAGCCTTTTCAAATTGCATTTGTGAATGGCAGGCTGGGCCCAAAGTTGCACAAAGCCATGTGCCTTCCAAATCTCAGCCACACCACTGGAAGCAAGCGGTTGGATCCACAAAAACAAATACCTAGTTCAGCACACCATTTGGGCAGAGCCCATGCATATAATCATGCATGTATTGGGTGATTGGTCTCAGAAGGTTCTGGGACTTCAGCTTGTCACTCAGCAAGAGTGAATGCTGGGAATAATCAACCCCAGAAGCCTGGCTCCACCTTCTTAACTCGGTTTTGTTGCACTCTTGCATCCTTGCCCACGAGGACAGGATTTCTTGGTCTGTTGCAACATCCAACAGAGAGTTTCAGTCTTTTAAGACCTCCCTGTAAAAGTACCTCAGAATGAGGATGAGCATATTTGTTGTCAAACATGTGCTCCAGGATCAACCTGAAACATTGGCCAATGCTGGCTGCCAGCTGTGAGACTTGCTCACTCCTCTTCCCGAGCAATGTCAACCAACTTTCAGAATTTGACAGCGTGGCCCCAAACTGGGCAGATGAACAGTAAATTGCCCATGTATTCCTAGAATTCCCTGCCAATTGCTTGCCA